CTTCAGGGGCTTGGCGCTTGCTAGTGGTGTATTGCTGGTCTATCTCTTCCTTCTTCGCATCATCCGCTTTGTCGTATACCTCCTCGAGATGTCCAAGAGCAGCCTGCGCGTTGGTAGAGCGTGTTTGCCTCGCGGTTTTGCTCACACCTTCGGAGGTCTTGCCAGGGTTGGTGGGCTTGTCACCTTGAGCACCCTTGTTTTTTTTCGGAGGAGCCATGATTATAGCCTGGAGGAGCGAGAGATGGCTTGTCTCTGGTGGTCCCGGCTTTATAGTAGCTCGCAAAGCGTCGACTGGCCGTTACATTGTGCACAATCAGACGTTTATTTTATTTTTCTGGCAGCCTGTCACCATCTACTGGCCGTACAGACTTGATACTCCCGAAAAGGTTCAATCCAATAGCGGTTGTTGCATAGATACAGGCCGCAATTAGAAGCCTCCACAGTCCTTGGTGTCACTGATGGTCGAGTGCTATAATGAGCACATTTAGGCCTTATGTATAGAAGTAGACATACTTACTGGCGGAGAAAACCGTTGTCCACTTTCAGGATTAAGTGGAGAGTGCCGTGAGTAATGAAGGGCGAAAGCGGCTAGGGTCTTCCGATGTGCTTATGTAGCAAGCAAGTTAAAACGGGGGTGAGCGTGCTGCGACTTTCGAGTTTCCGTATCTGCGACTTAAAGAGCTCCATGGCTCAAATCGACGGAAACCTTTCCCCCTCCGAGACGGAGCTTTGGCTGTTCGGCACACGTCTGAATACGAATTGGTGGGATGACGTTTCCTGGCTGACCTCCGACTGTTGGACAGGCGAACTACAGCTCGATCATGACTCTCACAGGGTGCTTAGTGTACAACCTAAAGCGCCGGTGTTGTGTGAGTCCCCTAAGGATAACACCGCCACAGTCAGCAGTGAGACTGTTCGAAAGCGGTTCTATTGCAAAATTTCGCCGTGCCCGAAAAGCTACTCCCGTGCAGAACATCTGAGAAGACATCAATGAGGGAGCAACCCTGTCTAGACCATCAGATACTGAAAAAACTAATGCCTGGCAGGAAACATAGTGCAAACCCACCCAGGTTTCCTTGCACGCTGTGCGGCCATTGTTTTAAGAGATTAGAGAACCTTCGCGCTCACCGCAGGCTGCATCAAGATACCACCGAGGACGTGTATCATTGATCGATCATGGAGGGTAGAGCAAGCTCTCGTGATGAAGGGGATGCCCACCTAGAGAATGCCACGCTCACCATGTATACTTTGAAAGGTCTATCAAAATAGGTGGGATGCGCTTGCTACATCAGTCGAGCATCGTCCATACATAGGTAATTGGGACGAGGCGGCAGGCATGTTTGATTCTCCTTCAGATGCAACCAAGCCCACTTGTACCATTATTGAGCATAGCACACCCTAACGCTTTGCTGGAGTTGCCGGGACGCGAATGCAGCCGGATCTCAGATTCAATTCTTCCAACAGTGTGTCGTATAATAGGCATACCTCCCGCAGGACGTGTCCCACGAGCCTGCCCACAGCCGGCGTTCGCAGTAACGTACGATTCTAACTAGGAAATCGCTGTCTGTCTGGAGTACGTTTCAGGTTTCTCTTCTTGCCGTGGCACAATGACGGATGGAACGAATGCATAGTGAGATTTAGCATGTTTGCAATCATTCGGCGACTCTAGCCACTAACTAGTTCTTCAACGACGTCAAAAGATACCCGCCCAGCTCATCTACACGTCCTTGACCTTGCAGAGCAGAACTGGCTCTGCTGAAATCGTTTCCGCTGCGGTCAGAGACGGGGACCGCCCTCCGGGTCGGGGACGCCCCAGCTGGAGCGACAGCGCCGAACATCACGAACAAAGTCTGCGCTTCTTGTTCGCATTGAGCTCCGGATCCGGCGTGCTCGCCAGTATGCCCTCGATATACTCCTTCAATAGCTGCAATGCATCTTGCGTGCTCTGGTGGGACGAGGCCAAATCTTGCGCGTCAGCCCAGGCCAGACTCAACAGAGCGTTCTGCGCGTCGATCGTCTCGTCTCGCTGCCTGACCTCCTCGGTCTTCTCTCTCAAGGCATCGATAGCCAGCTCCCGGTCAAAGTCGACCACCTGACGCTTATGCACCTCTTCGTCGACCTTTTCGCGGAGCTCCTGCACGGCTCGCTCAAGCTCAGCATGGCGGAGACGCTGGTCTCGGTAGTCCGTCCCAAGCGGAGACGGACACTGATCAAAACCGGTGGCATCGGCTATGTTGACGTCGGAGAGTGCTGTGCAGGCCCAGGTGTCCATCTCTGATCGACCGGCCGCTCTTGAGCACTTGTTCTGCAACCGCTGGCTGGGAAACTCTTGCGCTCTTATACTCGACGGCATCGTCGGATATTGACGTTCAGTACAGGCCAAGAAGCGCGTCTTTGGCACCTTATGGCCCACGTCAATCGCTCTGCGGGCCATTATCGGGCTGGCCGAGAAAGCAGGCTGGGTCAAGCCAGGACGGCGACGACGGACAAAAGCGGTTGTCAGCAATATATAAAACGCCAATCAGCACCCCTAACGACACCAGCATATACAATGCAATGAGCGCATGCAAACACACGCAATGGACAAAGCTGCGGCAGGAAAGCGGGCGGGTAATGCTGGCTGTCTCAGACAGGCCTCAGCGATTGCTCGAACAAGTTCGCGATCCAGAAGAACCACATGGCATCGCGGTGCTGATCGGAAACTACACAAAGTCCCTCTTTCTCAACAACATGTGTCCAGGGAGCAGGCACCCCAGCAATGCGAGACACCACGGTGAGATCCATCTACATATCTCGCATGCCCGTGCCACTCAGCCAGTCCTCGTCGCCGATGGGGACCTGCCCGTCCACAATCGGCTGCCCTCGGCACCAAGATCATATCGGTGCCACGAAACCGACGAGGACTACTTGCCTGCAGATGTGCACCACGCAGTCCCGGCAGCCGACGAAGTCTACCAGAGATTTGTCTTTCCCTTTGTCGATGTGGCATGTCTATTCGTTGCTGACATTGGCGGGCCTGACCGCGCCATAGAGTGCCTGGCCTCTTGGACTGCGAGGGAGCGGTCATCAACCTCGCCCGTCCGTCCGGTGTTGATTGTCGTGGTGCCGAGGGAGCACAGCCAACGGATGCGTGTTGAAGTAGCTCGCATGGGCCAGCCGGCTGGCCCTGCATCGCTGACTCGTCATTTTCAGTCCATCACCATCGTGACATTCTCACCAACCCAACGCGGGATGTGGCAGA